GAAAACAGTTGTTGGAATTTAAATAGAGATTGCATTGAATCTGTAGATTGCTTTAGGAAGTATGGACATTTTAACTATGTTAATTCTTCCAATCCAAGAGCACTGAATATCTTTCCATTTCTTTGTGTCATCTTCACTTTCTTTCCACAATGTTTTATAATTTTCAGTGTACAGATCTTTCACTTCTTTGGTTAAGTTTATTCCTAGGTATTTTATTCCTTTTGTTGCAGTTGTAAACAGGATTGTATTTTTAATTTCTATTTCTGCTACTTCATTGTTAGTGCATAGAAACACAACTGTTTTTTGTCTGTTGATTTTGTATCCTGAGACTTGACTGTATTCATTTATTATTTCCAGAAGTTTTTTTTGTGGATTCTTTGGGGTTTTCTATATATAACATCATGTCATCTGCAAATAGTGACAGCTTCACTTCTTCTTTTCCAATTTGGATCCCTTTTATTTCTTTTTCTTGCCTTATTGCTCTGGCTAAGTCTTCCATACTGTGTTAACTAAGAGTGGTGAAAGTGGGCATCCTTTTCTGGTTCCTGCTCTTAGAGGTGTAGCTTTCAATTTTTCTCCATTGAGAATTATATTAACTGTGGGTTTGTCACATATGGCCTTTATTATCTTAAGGTATTTTCCTTCTATACCCATTTTATTTAGAAGTTTTTTTTTATCATAAATCAATGCTGTATCTTATCAAATGCTTTCTCTGCATCTATTGAGATGATCATGTGATTTTTATTCTTCACTTTGGTAATGTGATGTATCACATTGATTATTTGCAGATGTTGAGCCATCCCTGCACCCCTGGAATAATACTCATTTGATCATGATGTATGATCTTTTTAGCGTATTGTTGTATTCAACTTACTAGTATTTTGTTGATGATTTTTGCATCAATGTTCATCAGTGATATTGGCCTGTAATTTTCTTTTTTGTGTTGTTTTTGTCTGGTTTTGGTGTCAGGATAATGTTGGCTTTGTAGAATGAGTTAGGAAGTTTCCCTTGCTCTTCAATTTTTTGGAAGAGTTTGAGAAGAATAGGTATTAAGTCATCTTTGAATGTTTGGTAGAATTCACAGCAGAAGCCTTCTGGTCCTGGACTTTTATGTTTTGGAAGGTTTTTTATTACAGCTTTGATCTCCTTACTGGTGATTGGTCTATTCAAATTCTCTACTTCTTCTTGGTCCAGTTTTGGAATGTTGTATGATTCTAAGAATTGATGCATTTCATCTGGATTATCCAATTTTCTTGGCTTATAGCTTTTCATAGTATTCTCTTATAACCTTTTGTATTTCTGAGGTGTCCATTGTAATTTCTCCTCTTTCATTTCTGATTTTATTTATTTGAGCCCTCTCTCTTTTTTTCTTGGTTAGCCTAGCTAAAGGTTTGTCAATTTTGTGTATCTTTTCAATGAATCAGCTCTTGGTTTCATTAATTTTTTCTATTGTTTTTGTCTCTATTTTGTTTATCTCTACTCTGACTTTTATTATTTCCTTCCTTCTGCTCATTTGGAGCTTTGTTTGTCCTTCTTTTTCCAGTACCCTTAGATGCACTTTTAGATTGTTTATTTGGGATTTTTCTTATTTGTTGAGGTGGGCCTGAATTGCTATAAACCTCCTTCTTACAACCACTTTTACTGTATGCCATAGATTCTGGCATGTAGTATTTTCATTTTCTTTAGTCTCCAGATATTTTTTGATTTCTCCTTTGATTTCTTCATTGACTCAATCATTGTTCAGTAGCATTTTGTTTAATCTCCACATATTTATGGCTTTTCTGGTTTTCTTCCTGTAGTTGATTTCTAGTTTCATACCTTTGTGGTCAGAAAAGATGCATGGTATTATTTCTATCTTCCTAAATTTATTGAGACATGTTTTGTGGCCTAATATGTGATCAATTCTGGAGAATGTTCCATGCATATTTGAAAAGAATGGGTAATCTCCAATTTTTGGATGGAATGCTCTATATATATCCACTAAGTGCATCTGGTCTAATGTGTCCTTTAAGGCCAGTGTTTCCTTATTGATCTTATGTTTGGATGATCTATCCATTGGAGTAAGTCAAGTGTTAAAGTCTCCTACTATTATTCTGTTACTGTCTATTTCTCCTTTTATGTCTGTTAGTAAATGCTTTATATATTTAGGTGCTTCTCTGTTGGGTGCATAGATATTTACAAGTGTTATATCTTCTTGTTGGATTGTTCCCTTTATCATTATGTAGTGCCCTTCTTTGTCAGCTGTTACCTCTTTTTGTTTGAAAGAATATTTTGCCTGATATAGTATTGCTACACCCACTTTCTTTTCTTTGTTATTTGCATGGAGTATATTTTTCCATCTTTTCACTTTCAGTTTGTGAGTGTCTTTAGGTCTGAAGAGTGTCTCTTGTATGCAGCATATATATGGATCTTGTTTTTTCATTCAATCAGCCACCCTGTGCCTTTTGATTGGAGCATTTAATCCATTAACATTCATTGTAACTATTAATAAATATGTATTTATTGCCACTTTGTTACTTTTTTTCTGGGTGTTTTAGTAGTTCTTCTCTGTTCCTTTCTTCTTCTCATGCTCTCTTCCCTTATGGTTTGATGGCTTTCTTTAGTAATATTTCTTTCCTCTTATTTATTTGTTTACTTATTATAGGTTTCTGGTTTGTGATTATCATGAAGTTCCTATATAATATTCTATGTATATAGTAATATTTATTGAGTTCATAGTCTCTTTAGCTTGACCTCTTTCTAAAAGTTCTACTCTTTTACTCCCCTCCTCCCACATTTTATGTTTTTCATGTCATATCTAATCTCTTGTTTTGTGTCTATCTATCCATTACCCTCTTATCATTGAAATAGCTAATTTTAGTATTTTTGTCTTTTAGTCTTCATATTATCTTCACAGGTAGTTGATCTGCTACCTTCATTATATTTTTGCCTTTACCAGTGATTTTATTGCCTGGTTTTTTAAAAATTATTTTTGATAATTTTTGTATCCCTATTTGTGGTTTCTCTTTCCCACTTAAATAAGTCCCTTCAGCATTTCTTGTAGAACTGGTTTCTTGGTGCTAAACTTCCCTGGACTAATTCTGATAATACAGTCAATTCCTTCTAATTGCAAAATCCCAGGAAGCTTATATTTCCTGTTTTCTTCAAGTCTAATAACAAACCTGCTTCACATTTTATACCAGGGTCTTGATCCTTTCTTGAGGAGATTCTCAGGAGCAGAAACTTCTATCCCCTAACCATTCCCACTGTGGCTGAGGGAGAGTGTTTGTTTAGGAAACCAACAGTAATGTATGCTAGAAGAGAGGAAAGCTCTATATTTATCCTATGCTGAGGTTGTTAAACTTACCAATAGGGAAAGGAAGAAATAATTTTCAGAGATTTTACAGAGAACAACAAGGAAAACAGAAAAGCTGGGAAAGAAAGGCTATGAAGATCTCTGAGGTTTGACTCTGGGTGATTAAATATAGACATCAAAAAAGGATCAAGCATGGAAGGAGAAATTATTCATTGTATTTTAAACACCTGCAAACACAGCTGCTTCTCATATATTTGAAATCAGTGTCAGTGAATATGTTTACCATACCAATAAGAAACAGTGAACATGAGATGAATGAATGAATGAACAAACTTATTGTGTCAAGAGGAAATTCACAGAATAAGTCTTGCATTTGGATAATTTAATTGTTTAATTTGGATTACTTAATTGCCGTGTCATTTCATAGCTTATACCCCAGACCATAACATCCAGGACAAGATAGAGCATCTCTTTCCTCTACCATCAAACACAAGAATCAGGCTTCATATAAACTGTGCCACCTTAGAGCTGGTGCCTAGTCCTGAGCCATCATTCTGAGCAATGACAAGTGGGATCTATATCATAATTTGACTTCAATTATTGGTTACCTGTTCATTCTTTAGCCTGCTACACTGTCAAAGATGTTTTCTCATGATTGCTTTAGGTTGGTCAGAGTCCAGGACTACAAATAAGGATGGAGTTATCCAATCAAAAATCACGTGGGTTCTATGCAAAGCTGACAAGTTCTTGTCCTCTTTTCTTAATCTTTTTTGTGTTTCTTCCATGAGACACTTGCACTACTACCTCTCAGGCATCACCTATATCAGTGTTTCTCAAATTTTAATGCACTTATGAATCCCCTGTTGATTTTGATAAATGTAAACCTTGATTCAGTAGGTCTGAGACCAAATATTCTATATTTCTAAGAAGCTGGAAGATGATAACTCTGCTGCATGTCCCTGAACCACACTGAATAGCAAGGACTTACAGCCTGCTTTCTTCTTTTTGTTTAGAATATTGGGACCAATTGTTTCACTCCAATAGGTCTCTATAGTTAAATAGTAAGAATGGTCAAAGGCAACTTTGTGTTTCTCCTCAGGGCCTCAAGGAAGTCACTAAGGAATAAGGAAAGTCTGATTCCTTTGGCCAAGTGAGAAGACTTTTAACAAAACTATCAAATGTCTTAACTACTACTGACATGTCAGGAATGAAAAGAATAAGAAAAGACTGCAAATTTTCTGTAAATTCAACACAGATTTTTATTGAGAACATATTTCATGCAAATAAGACAACTGGCCAAGGATATAAATACTAAAAAGACATGGACTTTGCTCTCAAAAAGCTTCAAAATTATAAGGGGCAAAGGGATTTAAATACCTGCAACAAAGGGCAGGAAGTGAGGATTAGATTTGGCAAAGTACAGTTCAAGTGCACTGGGAGATCAGACAAGGCAGAGACTACTTACACTTATGCATCAGGGAAGGCCCTCTGGAGGAAGTAACATCTGAAATGGGCCTGAGGACCCACTAATATTTGAATATGCAGGTGTTGCTGAGATCTTATCCATTCACAATTATAATATGAATTTTAAGTCCCAGAACCCAGGTCAGAAAAACAAATCCTGCAAAATTACATCTAGCTTATACTGACAACTGATCATTAAGCAGAAATAAAAAGGAACAAAAAATGTTGTATAGGAAGAGTTGAGCGGATGTCATCACCTTGTCAGATTTAAGTACATCCTGAGCACCTGGGCTGCAGGGATCTCATTCCAAAAGGATAAGATTGCTTGGAGGTTCACAGTGTGTCCTGACAACAACAGATATGGAAGTCACTGTGCAGAAGGTGGAGGTGAGAAGTGAGCAGTAAGAAGGAAGGGGACTGGGAGGGAGACTAAGGAGAAAGAAAACAAAAAGATGAGAAGACAGGCAGGGAGTGGGGCAAAGGGCAGGAAGGATGGATACAAAGAACTTACCAGCGCTTCCTAAGCCAAAATGCAAGACCCGTCAGAAGTACCAGGGACACTATCACTCCCAAGAAGATCCAGCCCAAGGAGTTGTGATGTTCTGTGGATTTAGAAGCATACAAGGGTGTCATTTCAAATCCACCCCATTTTACTGCATTTCCCTTACCTTCCTTTGTTCATTTGTGTGTCATCCCCACCAGTCTCCTTTCTTCCTATCTCTTCACTCATCCCTTTTCAGAGATGAATCCTTCATTTAACCTTCAGTGTCCTCCTACATCAGCAGGTCCCTCATTTTCCACTTTTATATTTCTGGGATAACTTGTTTTTATTTCTTTTGGGTCTGAAGTCCCTAGAATCCCAAATTTTTCATCTGGTTCTCCTGCTCTATTTGAAGACCACCTACTCCCATCCACAGCTTGGGCCCCAGTTCTTTCTTACCCCAGTAGATGATGATGTCCTGGCCTCCTAGACTGCTGTGTCTCACATGGCAAGACAGGCCAGCTGTCTCAACGGCTTCCACATCCAAGGACTTCTGAAGATACCATGTTCCATCAGCATTGGGCAAGGTGTCACTTTGCTGAGTGCCCGCATACTCCTGCTCACCCTGCATCCACATCACCCAAATGGGCTTTGGGTGGAAGCCAGAGATGTGACAAACCAGCATCACATGGCCAGGACCAGGACTGGGGCCAGTGGACAGCCAGGCCTCTGGTTTTACTGCAGAGGACAGGAAAGATATTCAGATGAGAACTCTAACACAGATTTAGAGGTTCAGATCTTCACATCAGTTTAGACAGACACATCTTTCCCACCCCTAGGAATCTGTCATCCATTATTCCCTTTCCCTCTTGGCACCTTCTTGGGAAGGGAATGATGAAAAAGTATGATTTCAGAATAAAGAAGCCTTGAAGGAACGGCACAGGACTGACCTTGTCGCTGGAGATCTGCCTTCCCCGCATCAAGAATTCCCAGAAGGAGACGTGGGCAGGTGTCACTGAGGAATCTGTCTGTTATTTGCAGGTCAACTTTATGTGAATTGAATAGTCTGCCGACATCCTGAGCCCTACTTCCACCCTTTGGAGATGGCAACCATGACTTGTTCTGGAAGCTCATGAAATCTGATCCTTGATAAGCAACCCGCATGAAGCCTATTGAGGCTTCTTGAAAGCTCAGCTCACAACCTGCTGCTGTCTGTACCTCAAAAGGATCTGGGGAAGAGGGGTTGAGAATTAGTGGAAAGAGGAAGTGAAAAATGAAAGGAATGGAAGTAAAAGATGATATGAGCAGAAGGGAGAAGTTTAGAAGATTTGAGGGAATGGAGCAAAGTTTGGTTTTAGCAGAGGCTCAGACAAAGAGGAATTAGTGGTAGCTGGAGATAGAGGAAGAGACAAAAGACAAATGACTTCCATGAAGAAGTGGCCAAATTGTTCAAAGAAGGCAACATAGACAGGGTAGGTAAGAGAATAAGGTAGGACTGAGTGTGAGAGAGTTGGCATTATAATAATCTAGAATGAATGGAATGCAATAGGTTACAATGAATATATCAACAAAAATTGCTGAAGAGATGGAATGGGGGAGAAAAATCACACTTTAAGGAATCAATCAAAAAGTGAAGAAGCTGAGAGTACCTGGTTGAAGGCCAGGGAAAGGCATGGTCACAAGAGACTGCTAATAGAAAATATAAGGCACCAGCCTGCAGTCAATGAGAGAGGAGTTTGTAAGCAGCAGGAGACTTGAAGCTTTTGAAGCATCAGGGTCTGATGCTAACCCTAACCCTAACCCTAACCCTAACCCTAACCCTAACCCTAACCCTATTATGACTTCCTTCTCCTACCAACAGAGAAACCTTTCCTTGAATCGTTGTCTGCAATGAAGAAAATCTACTCCTTCCCTAAAACCTGGGCCACTCATTCAGACTCTCATTTCCCCTTTAAGTTCTCTGGACCACCTACTCAGAATCTCATTTGTCCTCCCAGTTCTGTGGACTGCCTACTCAGACTCACTCCCCCTATAATTCTGACTCTCCTCTCTGGCTTCCAGCTTCTCTCAAGAAGAGACAAGAGCTTCCATCATGTTCACCTTCCCCCAAATCAACTCTGTGAAACAAGTCTTGTGTGGCATTGAAAAGTCGCTTTACTTCTAGGGCTTTTTTTCTCACTCATACAATAAAAGCATAAAACTAAGTTGCTTCCCAGCACCTACCTCATCTTCTCATGCTCCTGCTCATTTCTGTCCCTCTGTCCTTCTCCTGCCCTTTTGAATACTCCCCAAATATTTTCTTCCCCTGTGGCACTCCCACCCCACCCCATTTGCTTTTCTGACTTCTCATATGTTGTTTTATTTTCTTTGTCAGAATCCATATGATTGCCCTGTGAAACAATATAAAGTACCACCAATTCTCCATTCTTCTTAGGGAAGAACCAGTAGCCACCACAGAGACAACAGGAACATTGAAAAACATGAAGAAAAAAAAACCCTCCGTTTGACTTGCAGTAATATATATTCACTCACCAGTCATTCACTTAGCACCTGCTGGATCCAACCTTCTTGCTATAGTCATGACCATGTGGTCATTGACAATGCGATCACTTTATCCAAAGAGCTTTTAGTCTACTTGGGAAGAAAAACACTTAAACTGAGAATTATAAATCTTGGTTTGCTGAGTTTTCTCATAATGTTTACACTCTCTAGAGAAAGACTGCCTACTTGAAGCAATACTTTCTAAAGTGGTGACCCTTAACCGAAGTTTGTCCACTCAGATTCTTGACTTAAGTGGTTGTCTGGGGGTGTTAGATCAATACTCCTAGTGTACTGGATCCCCAACGTCTAAGAGAGTGCCTGGCAAGCAGTAGGTGCTCAATGAATAGCTTTGAACGACTGAATAAATTCAGTTCAGGCATCCAATTATTTTTTAGAATTATGAGGATCCTAAACATAAAAATTTTTGAAGACATCAAAAAGCATTATTTGCAACCCTATTTGGTGAAATTAGAATCTTATTCAGTTTTAATTCGGATGAAATCATACGCTAACAAACATGGAGTTTACACAGAGGACCCTGCTGTAAATCTATTCCTTATGACAAGAAACTAGTGAGAACTGGTGGGAAGTGAAGTTAATAAAGTATTCTAGAGTCATTTATCCAAATTCCCTTCTTATTGGTCCTGCTTGGATGTTCTGTGCTTGTCTTTTCATAAGCTGGTCTCTGCTGGACATGCTGACCTTCCTCTTTCATTGTGTTTATAACTATTTAAAGGCTCTTAAATATTTTTCTGTGCTTTGTATCATCTGGATAAATGCATTTGGACTGTTTCTTTTGTTATTTCTTGGTTTATAGAAGTAAACAGAAATTATCTCAGGCTAATTTAAGGAAGAAAATAATTCTTTTGGAAAGTTAAGACAAGAACATAGAAAGCTAAAAAGAACTTCACCCCAATACTTACAATTTTAAAAAGCTGAATATTCAAAATCGCAACTTCTGTCAAATCCATTATAAAGCTGAAATATCAAGGCAACCAATTAACCCCGAATCTAAGGAAAGACAGATTCCTCCAAGGAAACAGGGGATGTAAACCCTTGCTGACTTGAGACAGATGTCAGATGCTATACAAGCCAGTAAGAATAATTCAACTAAAATTGTTAACAAATTACTGAAAACTAACAAGAGTACATAGAACCCCTGAGAGTCACAGACACAGGAAATTCACTTATATCTGTAGGCTTTTTTCCATAGGCCTCACCAGAGCCTCCTGAAAGATTGGATGCAAGGATGTAGACCAGAGAAATTTTTCCTGTGGTGCAAGCCTGAGGTATGAAAGCAGCTACCGCATGAGAAAGGCAGGAAATCTCAATCAGATCTCTCTCCCCTAGCTCCCATGCAGAAAAAAGCTTTAACCTGGTGGGGGAAGGGCAAAAAGCCCTGTTGCATTTAGGGCACAGGTGAAGGTGCCCTGCAGCTGGGGGAAGGGGAATAATGGGGAAGGGATTGTAAATTTATTGTCCTAGACTTATAAGAGGTTCCATACTACTGAGAGAAAGGCAGGAACTCTTAAAGTCTCCAACCCCAACCTACAAAACAAAGCACTTGCCTAAGAATGAGACAGAAATAGAACAAAGATAATTGACCCTGCTCCCTCTCCCAAGCAGGTTAGCAAGCATCAAGTCAAAAGAGCCCTTGCTGCTGGAAGAGGAACAAGGGTATGGAGATAATTCCTCTTAAGGCACAGAACAAAGGACAAACCAAAATCTGAGGGGGAAGCAGACATTAAGAAAAACCCCTGGCCCAAACCTGACAAAGACAACACAAAGAAGGAGAACTACAGGCCGATATCACTGATGAACATACATGCAAAAATCCTCAACAAAATTTTGGCAAACCGAATACAGCAATACATCAAAAAGATTATACACCATGATCAAGTGGGATTTATACCAGGGACACAGGGATGGTTCAACATCCACAAGTCAATCAACGTGATACACTACATCAACAAAATGAAAAACAAAAACCATATGATCATCTCAATAGATGCAGAGAAAGCATTCGACAAGATCCAACACCCATTTATGATAAAAACCCTCAGTAAAATGGGTATAGAAGGAAAGTACCTCAACATAATAAAGGCCATATATGACAAACCCACGGCCAACATCATACTCAACGGACAAAAACTGAAACCCATCCCTCTCAGAACAGGAACAAGACAAGGGTGCCCATTTTCACCACTCCTATTCAACATAGTACTGGAGGTGTTGGCCAGAGCAATTCGGCAGGAAAAAGAAATAAAAGGAATCCAAATAGGTAATGAAGAAGTAAAACTCTCACTGTTTGCAGACAACATGATCTTATATATAGAAAACCTCAAAGAATCCATAGAAAAACTATTAGAAATAATCAACAACTACAGCAAAGTAGCAGGGTATAAAATCAACATACATAAATCAGTAGCATTTCTATACACTAACAATGAACTAACAGAAAAAGAACTCAAGAACTCAATCCCATTCACAATCGCAACGAAAAGAATAAAATACCTTGGGATAAACTTAACCAAGGAAGTGAAGGATCTATACAATGAAAACTACAAGACTTTCTTGAAAGAAATTGACAACGACATAAAGAGATGGAAAGACATTCCATGCACAAGGATTGGAAGAATAAACATAGTTAAAATGTCCATACTACCTAAAGCAATCTACAGATTCAATGCTATCCCAATCAGAATCCCAAGAACATTCTTCACAGAAATTGAACAAAGAATCCTAAAATTCATATGGGGCAACAAAAGACCGCGAATTGCTAAAGCAATCCTGAGCAAGAAAAACAAAGCTGGCGGAATCACAATCCCCGATTTCAAAACATACTACAAAGCTACAGTGATCAAAACAGCATGGTACTGGTACAAAAACAGGTCCACAGATCAATGGAACAGAATTGAAAGCCCAGAGATAAAACCACACATGTATGGACAGCTAATCTTCGACAAAGGAGCAGAGGGCCTACAATGGAGAAAAGAAAGTCTCTTCAACAAATGGTGCTGGGAAAACTGGACAGCCAGATGCAAAAGGTTGAAAATTGACCATTCTTTTTCACCACACACCAAAATAAACTCAAAATGGATCAAAGACCTAAAGATTAGGCCTGAAACAATAAGTCTTCTGGAAGAGAATATAGGCAGTACACTCTTTGACATCAGTTTCAAAAGAATCTTTTCGGATACTATAACTCCTCAGTTGAGGGAAACAATAGAAAGAATAAACAAATAGGACTTCATCAGACTAAAGAGCTTCTTTAAGGCAAGGGAAAACAGGATTGAAACAAAAAACAGCTCACTAATTGGGAAAAAACAAGCCACTTATCCAACAAAGGGTTAATCTCCATAATATACAAAGAACTCACATGGCTTAACAACAAAAAAACAAACAACCCGATCAAAAAATGGGCAGAGGACACGAACAGACATTTCTCAAAAGAAGATATGAATATGGCCAATAGACACATGAAAAGATGTTCATCATTGCTAATCATCAGGGAAATGCAAATCAAAACTACACTAAGATATCACCTTACACCCATTAGATTGGCAAAAACATCCAAAACCAAGAGCGACAAATGTTGGAGAGGTTGTGGAGAAAAAGGAACCCTCATACACTGTTGGTGGGAATGCAAACTGGTACAGCCACTATGGAAAACAGTATGGAGATTTCTCAAAAAGTTAAAAATAGAAATACCCTATGACCCAGCCATCCCATTACTGGGTATCTATCCTAAGAACCTGAAATCAGAAATCCCAAGAGTCCCTTGCACCCCTATGTTCATCGCAGCATTATTTACAATAGCCAAGACGTGGAACCAACCTACATGCCCAGAAACTGATGATTGGATAAAGAAGATATGGTATATATACATAATGGAATACTACTCAGGAATAAAAAAAGACAAAATTGGCCCATTCGCAGCAACGTGGATGGACCTCGAGGGTATTATGTTAAGCGAAATAAGCCAGTCAGAGAAAGACGAACTCTATATGACTCCACTCATAGGTGGAAGTTAATATATTGACAAGGAGATCTGATCGGTGGTTACCAGGGAAAAGGGGGGGTGGGGGGAGGGCACAAAGGGGGAAGTGATGTACCCACAACATGACTAACAA